TTTCCCCACAAAGGCATCCCCAAACATTTAACAATGAACTTCACTCTAATGCTCCCACCCTTGTATCCATGTTTATTACATTTGTATTAATTTGTATTAATTACAAATGTGCCTGATGATTGGAAGAAGGCCAATGTGGGGCCTGTTTTCAAAAAAGGGAGGAAAGTAGATCCGGCAAACTACAGGCCCATCAGCCTGACCTCTATCCTGGGGAAGGTTTTGGAAAAGATTATCAAAGAGGCCATCCTATACAGGCTAGCTGATTGCGATATCCTGAGGGATACCCAGCACGTGTTTGTTGCGGGTAGGTCTTGCTTGACCAATATGATTTCATTTTACGACCAGGTGACCTATCACTTGGACAAGGGGGAAAAGATTGATGCCATATATCTTGACTTTAAAAAAGCCTTTGATCTGGTATCCCATGATCACCTCTTGGCAAAACTGGCTAACTGCAGCCTCAATCTCACCATGATCCACTGGCTGCGGAACTGGCTCCGTAGCAGGCCCCAGAGGGTGGTGGTTCATGGAAATCAATAGTCGTGGTGCCCTGTGAGCAGTGGGGTCCCTCAAGGCTCTGTCCTATGGCCTTTACTTTTTAACATCTTCATCAATGATGTAGACATTGGTGTGAGAAGTGGGCTGGCCAAGTTCACTGATGACACCAAAGCATACACATCTGAGGACAGGAGGGCAATCCAGGCAGATCTTGACAGGCTTAGGAAATGGGCAGATGAGAACCTGATGGTGTTTAACACCGAAAAATCCAAGGTTCTCCACCTGGGAGGAAAAACCTGCAGCATCCTTATAGGCCCGGAAGTGCTACACTGGCTAGCACTACAGATGAAAGGGACTTGGGGGTCATGATTGACCACAAGATGAACATGAGCCTTCAATGTGATGCTGTGGCTAGTAAAGCGAGCAAAACGCTGGCTTGCATCCATACGTGCTTCTCAAGCAAATCCCAGGATGTAATTCTCCCATTGTACTTGGCTTTGGTGAGGCTGCAGCTGGAGTACTGCATCCAGTTTTGGGCTCCACAATTCAAAAAGGATGTGGAGAAGCTTGAGAGAGTGCAGAGGAGAGCCACACACGTGATCACAGGTCAGGAAAACAGATCTTATGATAAGAGACTGAGAGCCATGGGACTCTTCAGCCTAGAAAAGCGCAGGCTCAGGGGTGATCTGGTGGCCACCTATAAGTTTATCAGGGGTGTTCACCAGGATCTGGGGAAAAATCTGTTCACCAGAGTGCCCCAAGGGATGACGAGGTCGAATGGCCACAAACTCCTCCGTGACCGTTTCAGGCTGGATATAAGGAAGAACTTCTTTATTGTCCAAGCCCCCAAGGTTTGGAATAGACTGCCGCCGGAGGTGGTTCAAGCACCGACTTTGAATGCCTTCAAGACACATTTGGATGCTTAACTTGCTGGGATCCTATGATCCCCGCTGACTTCCTGCCCCTGGGGCAGGGGGCTGGGCTCGATGATCCTCTGGGTCCCTCCCAGCCTGAATGTTTATGAAATCTATGAAATCTATGAAATTACATGTCCTGCAATTCTTCTCAGAACAAAAGAATATACTTTGAATCTTAATACACTTTGAACTTCTTGGGGAATCTATAAGCAAAAAGAAACTAACTTTAACCTAGAAAACATGTTTTTTTCTGAGTGCCAAGTGTGCTTCATCTGCAAATCCACCTAAGGTGGCAATAAATCAGGATAAATCAACTGCTTTCTAAAACTATGGCAGAGGTATACAGCTCCTGTTTGTTCATATTTTCTTGACATTTCTAGATCAGAAAGTCAGATTAAGATTAATCATGTGCAGTATGTTCAGGATGATAAACAGCTTTAGGGATGGAGTATAAAACTTGGGGTTTCCCCTTGCCATTAAAATTACCTTTAGTCATGCTTTTAATCTTCCCTAGAGGGGATGGAACAGAAACATAGGAACCATCTGAAATCAAAGAAGAGAATGAAGTTTATAGACTTTGAAGACAGTATGAACATTGATAAGAAAGCGATGCAATGTTTACTTAAAGTGTGAAGGGAATGTGAGCAGAAGAAAACATTTTTAAAATCTTGATGGGATTGTGAGTTTATACTTTTGAAAACATGAGCTCTGCATACCGGGCTAGATACTTAACTTGTGAAAATTGATATATTTCCATTGAAATCCCTTGAGCTACTCTGATTCACACCAGCAGAAGATCTAGTTCTATCTATCCAATTACGCGGTGAAGTTTCAAAGGAACTGGGGGTCAAATTTCCAAAGCGTTCACCACCCAGCAACTCCCACTGCAGCATTCACCCAGCAACTCCCACTGCAGCATCCACAGGTGCTGGCCCCTGGCTGCAGATGTGGGAGGAGCTGGGCAGGGTCAGTTTGCCCCAAGTGGCACAATTTGACCCACTCCAAAGTGCATGTTCAGGCACATGTGCTGAGACACAAATCGACAGCACAAATTTGTGCTACTGTTATTTGAGCTGCTGCAAGCACACATGCCTGCATGTGTGGATGCACCCAAGGGGTGTAGTTTATTCTCCTCAGAAAGCTGGAACTTATGCATTGTGATTCACCTACCATTATCTCTGTGAATAGTGTTCCAAAAACCATAAATAACTTTTGTGACCTTTTCCTATAGCTGATAGGAGTAAGTGTTCTTCTTCCCGTTTGTTATTTAGTTATCAAAAAACAGTATTTTTTTGTAAAAACAGAAAAAAAAGCAGTAATTAATTCTTTACATGGGGAACTTAAGCTGCTAAAGACATGCAAAATGTGAATACAAAAACATCCTTCACATCAATAATAAAAGAAGTATCAAAGGAAGGCAACACAAAGGGAATAACTAAACAAAGTATTAACTATGTAGAAAAGTATGTGTAATGATCATTAAGGAATGATCTTCATTTCTTAGCTTAGTTTTTGTTTCTAAAGTGTAGCAATGACAAGACCATTTTAAGATAAAGGGGAAGGTTTGACACTAATCAGTGATGTATGTTACCTGAAAAATTGGGATTCTTATGCTGTAATTTATCTTCATATTTAAATTTATAGTATTGGGCCAAAGCTCAGAGAAACTTCAGTGGGATTTGGTCAGATCCTTCACATATAATGTGATTAGTTTATCAAACCATACCTCCTCCAGGCTGGGAGTATTCATTACAAGGTGACTCATCCTGGGGTCTTTTATAATGCTTCAAAAGGGTCACAATGGCATCATGTCCTGACCAAAAAAAAGGAAGGGAGATGGTGATGTATAACTGACATCAATTTGCATATTCAACACAATGCTCTTTACTTATTTATTTTTACTATATTAGGATTTTATTCTAAAATAAACCATGTGTCTATTTATGAAAAAATATAGAGACAGACTCAATTTGCATTAACAGAGTACCAGTATTAGGCAACTAAGTGGTCCTTAGGCATTACATTCTGCCCAAGTCCCTGAAAAATGGTTATTGCAAAAGGTGGGTGGGTTTCCCCTGGCTGCTTTTTGTGACTTAATCTTAAGGCTAAGATGAAGGCATACTTCAAAAGTAGATATATCATGGACTTAAGCAGTTTGAAAGAGAATTGTACTTAGAGGCTTAGCTGCTTAAGTGCCACTGAGATGGGGAACTTATGGAATAAATTCTAGCCCAAAATGTTTATTGATGGTAATCAGAAATACATATTTTTGAGGAAGCACCTGCCAATAAAAATAATCAGTTTGTGACATGTCTTGACCCCGGATGTGGTCAGGAGCACCTTTGAGACACTCCTGCAGTACACTCATGCTTTCAAGGGAGTCCTTTAGCTCCAAACCCCTCTCTGCTCTCTGCTGCTTGACCCCTGTGAACAGACTGCTGCTCTAAATGCCACCTTTCTGCCCTACGCTATACCCATCTCGCTCAGGTGAGATGGGTAGCTCTTAGCAGAGGGAGATTCTGTCAGCTAAAAGAATCATACCCTCATTCAGTTGCACATTCAGAAAAGATGGACCTCACCCCTTGCTGGAAAAAAGCCTGCATGGTCAAAGCTCCAAAATCCCAATTAACACTGGCAATAAGAAGATAGCAAAAAGATTTATTACAAAAATAAAAAAAGCATAGAAATCAGCATATATTGAGACAGACAGAGATATAAGAATAAACAAACAAAAGAAAATATCAGAAAAATAACCTGTTTGTACCTTGTATCTTAAATCCAAGACTACTTCCTACCCAGTTCAACAGGTTAGAAAGCAGTTTCTGGCTCTGACTTCTCTGCCAGGACCTCCTCCAATTTCTCCTGCCAACCTGCTTTACTCAGGCTGAGGGACTCCAGTGTTTCCCTAGGCCTGGGGAAACTGAAGACCCCCTTACGCTTTCCAGGCAAAACTTAAGTACAGTTTCTTATCTGTCCATTCACATGTGTCATCTATTGGATGGGGGGGAGGCACACGAAGTGTATAACTTCCTGCCCAGATCATAAATCTTTCCTAATCTAATTAAGATCAGGAGAATGTTTGCCTCCTTTTAGACATGAGGACTAGGAATCAAATATCCTAATAATACTCTCTCACTTTAGTTTCGGGCTCTGAGAAATGTCCTTCTCCCAACCGTCTGAATAGTCAGGTGTTATTCTTACAGTCCCCCTTTTAAAATATAAATTCCTCATTTGTCTAGAAGAGCCTGGTTTCTGTGCCTCAGAGTAGGTCCTTAAGGAAGATGAGTAAACAACTCATATCAAATGCTAATTTTTAGCTATTACTGTTCTTCAGCCTTTAGGCCTTGAACTTCTCTTAGGTGCCAAAGAAACTCATTCTTTATCACTTGAAAGGCATCATCGTATTGCAAACCCTGGCCCTATTATAACATATAAAATACATTTAATATTAAATAGCACAGTGCATATAAACATCAGGATAAGGACAAATACAGCTTGATACTGTCTATCTGTAGAGACTAAACATGGCATCTCTGCCAAGCAAATTCAAGAAAATATTCATGACACCCCATAAGACCCCCAGACCAGAGTGGGGTTTGTGACACAGATAATTTTCACCCTGAGAATAACTTTTATTAACAGCAATGGGGAAAATGTAAGTCTGAAAATACAGCTGTTCATGCCAACTCAGCAGACCAACACACTCTGTCTTCTTGTTGTGGACAGTTACAAATATTATCATCACTATTCTGTATGCACAGACTAGCTACTATAGCATGTAATCAGTGTCCTAGATATTTTGGAGTATATGAAAAGGTTGTTTTGGGGTCCCATTCTGCTCACTCTGATCCCCCAGAGCTCCAGATTTGAGGTCTCTCATCACATCTTCCACTTTGCTAACAGCATATTGTGGAAGGCTCTTTTAAATGTGGAATTCTTAAGTCCTTTGAGGCTATGCTGCTGGTTAATTGGATGCATTTTCAAAATAAATAGTGTCTTTATGTTTTCAAATCCCCACGCCTTTTCTCACTTTTCCTAGCCCCATGGAAAAAGAATAGAAAATAACAGCACTTTTATTATGAGGTTTTGCACTTCTGGTTCAGCTCTACGTAGTGGTTTGTCAGAGCCAGCAGCCAGTGCTCCTGTTTACCTCTGACAAACATGAGAGCACAGAAAAAAAAAGATGCTTTTGCAATGATATTGCGATGCAGTGATCACACACCAAATGCTACCTATCATTTCAACAGTTCTTTTGGCTCTATTTGCTTGGAGCTGTTTTAATTTCCTGCCAGCTCAGTGGCAAAATTTGTTGGCATTTTCTTAGGGATATTCTTCATCAAGAGCCTAATGAGTGCAAGCATTCTGGCTCATGATAAGCAGAAACCTGCCAGGAAAATGCCAGTAAGCTCACAAGTGATGAAAGGCTTGTTCGCTCGACTTCCTAAGTCCTGCAAACAGTTCACAGCAGCCCTCACAGAATCCATTCTATAATTCTTTCATCATAGAAATACTGCATCTACTGTGATGATTCATGGGATTTAATTTGTGAAACGAAATAAAATTGCATTTGCACAAAACTGGCTGCTAATTTAATACAGTACGAGAAGCTGAAAGATTTCTATTTGTATCCAATGCTCCCTAAGCAAAGCTATTGGAAACTGATTAATTGAGAGAATCTACAATTTATTGATGATTTAGTGCAACTTGTATCTTCAGCTACTGGATTTTTTCTGGAATTTTCTGTGATTACACCGAGTGATTGACTATCTCCAAGGATTTAGTCTTCATTTAATATCTGGGTCTTACTGTTACAAAAAGGTGGCAACAGATCATTATTAACACTGTAAAAAGAGTAACTAAACGCTCAGCATCTAGCTGAAACAGGACAATAATAAGTCAATGAGATAATGACGATCCATGCCACATTAAACACACGAGAGCTATTGTGATGTGTTTAATACAAACTGTCCGGACTTCTGTGTAAGAGGATGGCAAGCAGGAACACCTTGCAGAGAGATGCCTGGAGAGTTGTTTTGCTGACTCATCCTGTTGTCAGGTGCTGTTCTGCTGACTCACCAACTCCGGTGGATAGCTGTTCCAACCAGTGAATATAAAACTGCTTTGGGGTCTCATGAAAATAGAGAAATGTAAGGAAAATGGTGGGATCCTGTAGATAGAAACCCTAGACACCAGCCAGCTCAGAAGAAATTTAGACTGTTTTCTGCTTCTTTGTTATATAAAAAGCGAAACTTCTTTGACTGACTAGGAAAAAAAACCACAGAATATAAATCTGACATATTACTCAGACAATTCTGTGAGACGTACAGGACAGGACAGCTGGAACCACAAAAAACAGCCCTGAATTTATGCAGGAACACAAGTGTAATGCGTAGCTCCTTGCAATGTCTCCTCAGGTTGTGAAAAAAAAACCTTCATCCAAATAATATAGGTAGAAATTGCCTTTTCTGAACTCTGAAAAATGAAGTTTTTATTTTAGCAGCACATAACAACTCTTACAGAAGCTGAGTTTGTGTTGAATCAAAGTAAGGTTTAACAGCCTCAAATATTTGAAGGAATAAATCCCAGGCATGGTTTTCAGCAACTTGATGTCAGAGGCTGGAATACAGTTGTGGGCGTTCCCAATCCACAGGTGCTGAGGGGTCAGTGTGTACTATTATCTTCTACCGTAATAGTCCTTTGTATTTGCAACAGAAATGAGGAAATTGAAATACCTTTCTCATAAGCCCACATCAAACAGGTTTGCTCATCTTTTTCTCCACTAGACCTGCTAGGATCACAGGCTACCAGATTCATATCAGCTCCATTATCCAGTAAAAACTGTACTAGACGAATGTGACCGTGGTAGCAAGCACAGTGCAATCCTAGAACATTAGAGGGGGGAAAAGAATAGTCAGTGTGGTAAGTACAATTGTTACAACAACATAATAGGACTTGTAGCAATAGCTATGAAGCCTGAATTGATTTCCTTGATAATGGAATATATTATCAGGCGAATGATTACAGCACTGTAAGAAAAGAAAATATTATGCTATAAGAGCCAATCTATTGCTTGCCATACAGGACATGTTAGCACTTATTCCACTGCCTGCAAATCACTACGATAAATATAGGTTAGCAATTTTATTTGATATAAATACAAAAAGAAAGGGATTTTTTGCCTTTAATAAACAAAAGGGAGATACACATTCTGGTGAGAATTCATGTATATTGTTCTAGTGTGAGCAGATCTCTTCTCTTCTTGACTCCCTGCATTAATTTATCATCAGTTTCCCCCTCCTCACTTTCCAAGCACTTTTCAGCTCCTCATGTCTATATTTCTGTCCCCACTTCCTTCTGCACACCCACCCATAAGCCTCTCAGAACTGAGGTTTTCATCTCCTTATGCCACTCTTTGCATCTTTTCTCATGTCACCATGCTTAGCAAGAACAGCCCAATTATACATAATTCAAGTGCATTCTGAAATTGCTTCTATTACATTCCAGTTATAAAGGATGCTTGTTATTTGTTTATTGTATTGTTACTGTTCAGTTTAAGATGCGAGCCTTTCAAGTGCTTGATACCCTCAGCCACCTCTCTGTGTCACTGGGAGTTACAGATTCAAGTACTTTTGCAAATCTGGGCCTAAGTATTTAGAAGCCTAGCCATAAGCAGTGACAGAAGTAGGGTAAATTATGCTGGATTCTGTGCTTTTCTTACTGGACTGCTAGTGATACCCAAGTTAGCTGCATCACAACTACACTACACAGTAGCAGGGGCAACGCATAGGCAGTGTATGCAGATGCATGTGCACTCCCTGCACATGGTGGAGCACCCCATGCAAAAAGGCACTGCTGACACTATCGGTGGCACCTGTGGGTGGTCGCCACTTGCCACCCTAGCATCTTCAGGTGGTCCACGATTGCCCCTGGCAGCCGCTGCCGGTGATGCCTGCAGGTGGTCACCGAACCCTGGTTGGTGCTCGCCACCCCACCCTGCCACCAACGGTACCGGTGGTGTCTGTGGGAGCTCCCTGCTCACTGTCACATGGCTCCCACCGCTGCCACTGGGCTCCCGCCACTGCCAGTGCAGCCGTGCCCCCCCCCCCAGCCGCTGGGGGCATGCACTGTTCATGCACAGCAGTGTAGACATATTTAGGAGTGCTCAAATCTCACTGAATTCAACAGGAAACTGAGCATCTGACTCCTATTAACTCCTCTTGAAATCTCAACCTAGACATTTTGGGCTTGGGAACTTCTCTGTTAAGAACATCTAATGCATAAATATTAAGGATCATGATCATACCTGTATGCCCATCTCTTCCTTGATGATTGATACTTATAACATTCTGATCGAGAAGAAATTTTACAAGTTCTATGTTCTTACCATAGGTACAAGCACTGCAAAAGTAACACAGAAAGTGAATTCACCAGTTCCTATAACACGCAAAATGGATTACCCAATGATTTCAAGGGAGTTACCTTGACATTAAATTGGTGTAACAGAATGGAGGATCTTAATTTAAGTGCAAATGCAGGGTTAATACACAACATAAATATGTACTTTTCCACCCTTTTGGAAAAATCCATATTATTATTCCCCTTGAGCTCCACACTATTGGGTCACATGCTGTGGGGGCAGCCCCTGGGATCCCACTTCCTCTTCCCACTGCATGGACACTACCAGTGGCAGCATCTGCACTCTGCCTAGGCTACATTGGCGATGTGCATCCATCCTGTGGTGTGGGCAGCATCAGTGGTATGTGAACCCCTTCTGGGTCCTCCCTCACCATACAGCTATGGAAGAGGTGGCCACAGGTGCTACCAGTTTATCCCAGGATATCCCTGTTTTATGTCTTCATAGAAGTGTGGTGAAATCTTTGGAACAATTTTTTACATGAATTTTGACCTGCCAACTTATTCTTGTCTATATATCTATGATAATGTCTATGTAGCTAGAAGATCTAGAATGTCTAGGAGTCAGAGGGATTCTAGGCTTGGGGACCATGTTCAGATTCACTTAGGAGAAAGACAAAGACAGAAAAAAGAAATAATTAATCCAGATGTAATGAACTTGTTGATATTTTAACATTTGTCCTCTCTCCTATATGACCTCTTCGGCTATAGTTCTCCACTGTCGTTATAGCAACACTAGACTCTTGTCCTTGTCTCTGTTGCATATGTGAGCCTAGCATTCATACCTTGCCTGAAATCTTGGTCTCAGTCAGGCTGCGGTAGAGGTTTTTGCATGAATCTATAAGCAGAATTCAATGTTGTACCTGTGAAAAGCTGTTTCACTGAATATATTTTCCTTAGTCAGGCTTTCTGTTCCTGACAGATGAATTATTTCCTTGACAACTTCAAATTTTCCATTGTAACAAGCACTGAAGACAAAGTCAGAAAAGTGTTAGTAATGGAATTATTAACACTCTTAATACTGCCAATGTAAAACAATGCTTATTTCCACTACTCACAGGTGTAATGGTGTATCCCCGTAAATATTAACTACATGGGGCTGAACTTCAAAATTGCTTTGGAGCAGGAACTTGACTATTTCATGGTGTCCAAATCGACAGCAGAAGTGAAGAGGTACATGATCTTCATTGTCCTGTGCATTTGCTGTCATTTTGAATAAAAGAGAGAGGAAACAAGAGGTTTACAGTCAGTCCAGTTTTTTTTTAATCGTGTGCTTGTGCATATAAATGAAATCCCAGCAAAGTTAACTGGTAAGCATATCTGGGCTTGATTCCTTATAGTGGAAGCCAATGGGACCTTTTCCACTGACTTGAACAGATACAGGATCAGGCCCTACAACCTTCATAATAAATCATCGAAGCCATTTTCTTGTAATCATTCAGAATGTAATTAGGTTTGCAACACGAGATTTCTGGCATGTTTTGATGGCATTTTCAACAAAGAAAAGTAGGAGGTATTAATGAGCCAATGACCCTTGGAAAGTGGTATTACTGTCAGTGTATTAACAATATGAAGCAAAACTCTGATCCAAAGTTACTATGCATAGGAAAACAACCCTCTGGGTAATCTCAAATAAATGGAGCAAAATTCATTCATTAAAAAAATGGGAAGAAAAATCCTTCAACGCTGTTCCCTGGAGTGGAAAATTCAGTTACTTTTAAAGAATATATTAGCCTCATTAAGTACTAGGAACTGGCCAAGAGAACAAAGGGTAGTTGCAGAAAACCCCCAAAAACATGAATACAGGAGATACAAGGAAAGATATATTATAGTAAAAACATTAATAAACATTCGTGACCCTCCTCCTCAAGATTTTCAGAAGAGATTACAAGAAAGCCTGTAGTAAATGATTCTCAGTCAGGGTGCTATGGGACCCTGTGTGGTCCTGGCCTGCCATTAGATTTTGTATGGGTGCTGCACAACGCTAGCATTGTTATGTATGCAAACATCTACACATGATTCATAAGATAAACCCAGAGATTTCAAATAGGAAACTAGAGTGTCAAAAACATTCTGACCTGTTGGGGGCTTTCTGAGTTCTCTGCAACAGAATAAATGCTCTATTATTTTTCTGTAACCAAAACATGAGTAAAAGCCATAAGATGGCATTTTCCTAGGCGGTGTCTTGAGTGTAAGGAGGGTGCCCTTGATCACTGCGGTAATAGATCACTATGGAATAATCTATATGTATAGCTGAAATTTCCACTTAATCCTCTGAGTCAGCAAGTGTTTTATGTTATGAAGGTTTCCATACATTCTTGTTTCAGAGCCCATCTAAAGAACCCATTGGCTGTGTACAGGTCTAAGAATTCTTTGAATTCTACTAAAATTTTGTCTTTAATGATATTTTGTGGCAGTGAGATACATGGGTGAGTTAGTTATACAATGTACCTAGTAAGTCCTTCTACCAGTATGAAGCTTGTGTTTTTAAATTCCAGTGACTATCTCCTTGTCGTCTTCTTCTAAGAAAGGGTAAAAGAAAGAAACACAGACCTTTCTGTGTATTATTTTGTGTACCTCTAATATATAACCTTTATATTTTTATTACAGTGTGCTGCCAGAGGCTGATTCATTCTGAAGTGGAATGAAGAAGAGGAAATAAATGTTGAAGTTCATTCTACATTTTCTGTTTAAAAGACTTGCTGTTTGATAAGGTAATAGAATAGCTGGAAAGCCAGAGGTACTTTACTGATTCCAAACCATCAGAAAGTATAGCATAAAGAGTTAAGGAGCACAGTTTCCCACCCCCCATTTATTCACATTGGGGAATGATGATGAAAATATACATGAAGACTTGCTGAGGAAAGAGATATAACCCCTCCCATTGCTTTTAAAAACGATGATAACCCTTTCATTTGCAAAAAGAATGTAACAGGAAAAACCCAGAAAAGAAGTAAGAAAGCCTTTGTAGAAGAACTATAAGAACAAGTAGAGCACTCGGCTGTGACATCAGTAAGGAAGATTATAACAGAGAACTTCTGGTATGAGAATCTTGGAGTTGGGATTTTAAATTTTTACAAAATCATAAGAAATATTTGAGCTATCCCTGGAAGAGATGCTGCTCAGTGCTTAGTGCTGCTTGCACAGCAGACTCCAATCATAAAGGCGTTATCCAGCAAGAAAGCGGTAGAAGCTTAGTACAAAAACAAGCAAAGAAATTCCTAAATGGGACACTTGAAGCACCATAAAAATTACCTGTAAGACTATCTAGATACTTGGAAAGGTGAGACAATTTCCAGCCGTCAGAATCATAAGAAAGGACAAAGGGAGCATGTTTGCCAAAGGAAATGGCCCACACAAGACAGCAATATCTGTTTGCAGGAGTCTGTGTTCCAGGATGGTACTGATGTACTGTTAATCTTCATATGAGACAGTTTAAAAATGACTTAATTGGCAGGGTTGAATATAACTTAAATAGATACATTTCAGGGTATAAGCTGCAACTTTGGATGGTGTTGACGGGGAAAGATACATTTATTGTGATCATTCAAAGTTGATAGAAGCTATAAAAGCAAAGAATCCATATTTTAAATCATTATGGGAGGAGTGTCCAAGATACAGTCTGCAGGCTTGATCCTACTCACGGAGCCCCATCAGCTGAACCCCAGTGCTGCCCCTGGGTTTTGAATTGACCTACACACCACGTGCAGTGTGTGCAAGACCAGCCCAGTGCCCAGGGCTTGGGACGTGAGCTGCACGTGGCACCCACTTTGCCCTGTCCAGAACTGCACTGCACATAGTGCTGCACCTGCCAGTCTGGAACTGAGCCGCGCATGGTACCTGCTGTGGCTGGTCCAGGACCTGCACTGCGTGCAATGCCAGCTGTTTGATGTCTTGGATGTGATATGTTTTGAGGGGAAGGGAAGGGCAATGGGCCCATGGAGCTGATCTAGCCAATGGAGCTACTCTTAACCCATTCATCCAGCCTGTGTAGCAGTACCAAGCCACTCATCCAGTCTGTAGGGCCAAATGACTTTGACACACCTGCATTATGACTTTAAACACTAAATAATCTGCTAGAGCAAAATATGAAGCACACTCTATATGTGTTTCATAGAATGTAGAATAAAAGAGAATGAGACTATCTGTAGATAGAAAAGGGACATCCTTGTCTCATAGTTATTGATGATTTTTTACAGATTCTACTTCTTACTAGACAAAACAGATGATAGATTTTCATTTTCACCTAAGATTGAAACTAATCAAGTTTATTATCCAGGCAAATAACACCGATGATTCATCCAGGTCTAAAACTTGTTGCTAAGTATTATTTTCTGTTAGAAATTGTCATTGAAAAAATGATGTGAAAAATATGAGTATTTGTATGGTCATTCTTTAAATCTATAGCAGGACGAGAGATAGAAGGAGGTGAGAAAGTTGCAGACACAACTTACTGCAAAAGTGAATGAGAAAATGTTACTTTGGAATAACACTGTTTTTATTTAAAAAAATAAACTTACCGGTTGCTTGCTAGAAAAAAATAAAGCAGTTTTGTGATTTATCATTGTCACATAAAAGTATTGATTTGCATGAATAGTAGTACTGATTAAACCCTACTCACATGAATAAGGATGTCTCATATGAGGAAGTATTCCTGGACTCTAGAAATCAGGGAGATGTCTTTTATCCTAGTTGCAAAGTATTTTCTTCTATCGTACAGTTTTATTTGGATTTTATGAAATAGCTGAACTCACTTAGAAATAAGGAAGAATAAGTAAGAATTGTTATGGGGTGAATAATGCTAATCTAATAGTAAAAGACTAAGAAGCTAGAGAGCAGGAAGAAAAAGAGATAAAAATGAGATTTGTCATGACAAATCGATCCCAGCAACTGGATATTCTCAAAATTCAATACATTTCAAGTGCTATCAGTTCATAATGGCAAATTAAACTTAAGCTTGTATTATGGGTCTAAAAATGAATTGAGTTTAAAATAATTTGATAAAAATATACTACTATAATATTTCCAGAAAAAATGTTTTATTTATCTGGTCATTCAAGCAAATGCTCCCTTTTGAAAGTGTTCACATTCAGATGAGAAGTGTTCATATTGCAACAGTGCTCATACTGCTTTGCTCAAACCTAAACTAATCATGGGATTAACATCTGGAGAGAGTGAGCTGGATTTTTTGTTTGTAGATTGTAATATAAAATGTGTTTATAATATAAAATATATCAACATGATTTCTACTTCTTTGTGACAAGGATGAAGCTAAACTCGTGTTTAAATTAATCCTTGATGGATCTGAATGAATTCAAGTCAGCAGAACCTGATGAGCTTCATCCCGGTGTACTGAAGAAACTGGCACAGGAGATCACTGAGCCCTTGGCATTAATAGTTAGAAACTTATAGAGGAGAGATGAGATACCAGAGAACTGTAAAAGGGCCAGCATAGTGTCCCTCTTTAAAAAAGGCAAACAACAGGATCGGGGGAACTACAGATTAGTTAGCCTCACCTTGATATCCAGGAAGTTATATCTTAATGAATTCAATGTGCAATCATCTGGAGAAAGAACAGTCAGTATGAGTTTGGTAAAGATTTGGCAAAAATCTTGCCAAACAAACTTCATCTTCTTTGACAAGATAACTAGTTGGGTGGATGCATGGAATAGATGAAGGGAATCTGTGGATACAGTGAATCCCAATTTCAGCAAGGCTTTTGACAAAGTCCCACATGACCTTCTTATAAACAAATTGGAGAACTGTGGGCCAAAGTTACTACAGATTTCCCTCATTTTATGCAGGTTCCATATGCCCAAATTTACTTGTATGAGATGACACATTTTATACCAAAAATTTTTCATATGCAAGGTAAATTCACTCTTATGTGACCAGCATGATGGAAGCCTGCAGTCAGTTGCTTTGTGCGGTGCATTGAGGGAGTGACACCATAGACCAGGGAGCAGCACCATGTGCTGCCCCCCCAAACAACACCAGTCCCTCACTCGCCCCTAACCCCCAGGGGCTGGTGCTATGGAGGAGCTGGGCACAGGGCTGTCCCTGGGCCAGGGTCTTCATAGTGGCATCACCCTCATGCCACCCCTTCTGTGCAGTGCTGGCAGTGGGGAGGTGTCTTTGTGGGCACAGCACTGGTGGGCAGTGCAGGCTGCAGCAGAGACCTGTGGCCAGGGTCAGACTCGCCC